AGTAAGAATTATATAATATGGCTAAGGGGAAAACAAAGCAAGCCTTATATGAACATCACTGAAAAGCATCTGAAGATGAAGCCTGTTTTATGGCAATCTGTAGAGATGATGTCCACATACTCTTTGAGAGACCATCGGACCCTGGGACCACCATTAAAAGCCTATTATTTAAATAGGTTATAGCGAGCTGGGGATTTAGCTCAGTGGTTTGGCGGCTGCCTCGCAAGCACAAGGACCCGAGTTTCAATCCCCGCTACCAAAAAATGAAATAAATAAATAGGTTGTAGTGTCCATAAGCTGTCATATTTTCATCTTTAGAAATAATTCTATAGGTTTGCTTCTTTTATTTCAAAACATTTAGAGATGAAATGTTATAGTACTATATTGAGTCATAGGAAACCGCTAATTTGACCATTTATGACTGAGGAGAAAACAGCTGCATCAAAAATTTATCTCAGCTGGGCAGAGTGGCCCACACCTCTAATCCCACCAATTTGGGAAGCTGAGGCAGGAGAATTACAAGTTGAGCCAAATCTAGGTTCATTTAGAGACTTAGCAAGACCCTATCTCAAAATAAATAAAAAATACAATAGCACTGTAGCTCAGTGCAAAGGCCCTGAGTTCAATAATAAAAAACAAAAAACAAAACCCCATTTATCTCAGAGAAGAATGGAGTGAAACAGAGGTCACCAAACTGGGAAGGGGGTGGGAGTGTGAAGAACAGCTCAATTAGGGGGCATCAGAACAGAGCAGCCATGAGCTGCCTTTTCTGTAGCACAGTGGAGTAACTGTTGGTGGAGATAATCCATGAAGTATTTTAAATGGAATAGGAGAGTATGGAACTCCAAACTCATTAAAGTGATTAGTGTTAGAAGAGACAGAAACGCTTCTTACCTTGGTGTGATTACTACCTACTGTACACATACACTGAACTGTAACACACCCAGGGAAGATGTACCCATAACATGTCTCAGGACAGAGGCAGCTGCTTATGGCTCTACCTACTGACGAGATAAGAAACAGCAGCTGTTGTGTGGGCATCTGCTGAATAGAAAGCTGTTGAGTGGCTGCACAGCTGGAAGGCCTCTCCTCAGAGGACATTAAGTGAAAAATGGGGCTACGCCTTTAAGAAAAAATTCCTACATTGGCAGCGAGGAGTCTGTCTCTGAGCTGAGGGTGAGGGCTCTTAGGTTCTGCAATAGATTGCCCTTTTTCCCCTGGTACCCAGAATCAAACTCAGTACCTTGCCCTCGCCAGGCAGATGTGGTGCCTCTGAGCTACATCCCTGCCCCTAGACTACCTTTCTTGAGGGTTTTAAACATCCTTGGACATTCTGCAGTACTGGAATGTTTTAAATTGCAATAATATAATGTCTAGTAAAACAGACTGTTAACTTGAGGAGCAAGATCTGCTGTTCAATCCGAGATTCTGTCCTTGTTCCCATGGCGTCCCATCATGGGCAGGTTTTTGTGGGTGGCAAGCGGTCCTCCCGCCTTGCAGTTTGAACATGCAGTGCTTTTGGGTGGGAAGTGACTAAGCCCAAGAAAGATAACCAAGGCATTGTTGATTTTACACCGGAGTTTCTTCTCCTTGGCATGATTAGCAGATCACAATGTCCCGGGGCAGCAAAATCATCCTGCAGTGAGCCACAGTTTCTAGAGCCATTATGGTCTCAGCTCTGTACATGGTTGACTTTTCTCTGACCCCAGTCGCAGGGTCAGCATGCTAACAGTTGTGAGGAAGGAGCAGAAAGCCTTCCGCCTGCCTCCTTCCTTATGTAAAGAGCGCGAGTCTCTTCAGAACAGCCGCATTTCGTGGCAGGAAAATTGGGAGGTGGGACCCTCCTGTTCCCCACCAACTGGCATCACACAACATTGAGCCTGTAAATCCATCTATTTGCTTTTGATGAGTTGCTCTGGAAATCTTAAGTATCTTGGTTTGAATTAAATGACTATTTGATATAAGTCTTTGCAGTAGGAACTAAATCATTGGAATATATTTAAAAAGATTTAAGGACAGAGGACTGAAATTTAGAAAAAAAGCAAGCACTGTCCTTTTCTATTATATCTTTAAAAACCAGTCTTACTGTAATTTTAAATAGAGTACTCCTAGTAAATGTAATGCATATTTATAATTTCAGGAATAAGATGTGTGTGTGTATATATATATATATATATATGGGTTTTTTGAGATGGGACAGGATCTCACTGTAGTGCAGACTAGCCTTGAGCTCATTCTATGTCTCAGGCTGACCTCAAACCCTTGCAATCCTCCTGCCTCAGCCTCCCTAGTGCTGAGATTATAGGCCTGCACCTTGCCCAGCAGCCATTTATAATTTGACTTGCAATTTTCCTTTATTTTATGCCTAGTAGACTTTTTCTACATTAAATTTTGAAAAAAAACACATAGGCAATGTACTATATATTCAAATAACACAATAACATAACAGTTCTCACACTGATTTCTCCTCTGTAGAAACCCTGGCCGTTTTATTCACTTCCATTTTAGTAGACTGTTTTGTATTTCTCCAGTGGAATGGATACTAGCTCACCTGTGTACCTAGAAGGCAGACTCCACACCTTCCTTTCATGACTCTTCTGTCTTTTTACCCCAAGATTGCAAAGTACCAAAATTAGTGGAAACTTTTTTCATGAATTAACCATGAACGAAATTTCTTTCATTCCTTGTAAATTGCCCTAAAAACCATCCATAAGAAATTCTCTTCAGTATATTAGGGGAATGCACATATGAATAAGCATGTTGACTCTTTCCACTGATACACGCATGCTCACACACCTCATCTGAGCTGGTCACACTAGTCTGTTAAAAGAATTGATAATGTAAACCACTGTAAGTCCACTTGTTCTTCGTTTACTTTGAGTTCAGTGTGCTGTTTTCATGCCTATATGGCTGTGGTCTACCTTTGGCCTTTGTAATCTCTTAAAATATATCTCATACATTTTTGCCATTGCAAATATATAATTCATTTGAGACAAGTTTAAACAAAGGCAGTGAAAATATTATTAAAGCTACTAAGTGATGAATAAGTTAAAGCTGCATAGAAAGTAGTATGTCAGATAAAGGGAAATAACCCTAAATGGTACACACAAATAGTACATTAGATACAAATTTGGATTTCATATTACAAAAGTTACATCTATTCTCCTTCCTTTACTCACTACAAGGATTCTAAACACGAGAAGAATAGTAGCAAAGAATATGTGTGCATATAAGATTTTGCAACCTGTCTCGTGAGCACATGTAGTTTTAAGATCTGACATTTTCAATGTTAATGTTTAAGAGCTAGCAAAATATAATAGACCATATTATCAAATCAGAGAAATAACATGTAATTAGTATCAAAATTTAATTTTTCTGTTGGCTAAGCCTTTTGTCGATTAAATTTTAAAAGGAAAATATACTGAATACTGATTAGAACTGTAGAATCTTGGTGGAAGGAATATGAACAAAGACCACCTGTAAGTCATTAAATGTTAAGAAAATTTAGTAAACATAAGTAAATGTAGGGCTATGGGAACATACCAACAAGCAGAGTGATGAAATATCTGACTTCCAAATACAACTTTTAAAATCTAAGATGTTTTAAATTAATTGGTAACAAATGCCAGAAGGACCTTTCTCACTAGCCAACTTTCATTCCTGAAATTAAAATTTAATCAAAACCTCTTACAAATTTACAAAAGTTTGAAGTTCTCTTTAAAGCAGCCCATGTCTTTGAGAGTTTTATCACTCTACCTAACTATTAAAACCACACAACATGCCTTCTACGTTCCGATGGTAGCCAATTCTTTTAATAAAAGGAAAAGTTTTATTTGTGAAGCCCGGGTTATCCAAATTCTTTCTCATAAGAACAGTGTTCACATTTGCATGGAGTCCTGCACTGTGTGGCCATCAATCATAGTTCATAAATACCTATGAACTCTTATATTCTATGATACTGTGGTCATCATGGCTTACACATCTCAGTCCTCCTCTGGGCTCCGAATAGACCTTGAAAAGATCCTCTTTACGGCACCCTACTGCGTGCAAGCCCGAGGGGTGAGAGCCATGTGTCACCGGAAAGGCAAGACCCAACAAACTATGTTGGATGAATGCGCCGCATAAGTGAGGTGGGGCAGTTTCACAGGATGCTGGTTCTTTTGAAGACAAATAATTAAGAGGATCATCTGTAAGATCACTAGATAACTACCAAGAGTTATTCAAATTTGCACAACATATTAGTATTCAGGGGTACTAGGGACAGAAGTTTGAAAGATGGCAAAGTGCTGTGTTAATGGTCAACAACTGCGATTCATCTAAATGGAAGTTTATTCATCCTCAGATGTCAGATTTAATGGTATATTTCTTTCAGCACTCATAAGATTTTAGAATAAGTCCTGACACAGTTAGTATCGATACATCAGGTTCTGTAGTCCAACATATAAAATTAGCGCAGTATGGAAAATAGTGAAAACCAGGTCATAGGGTGTCGTTAATGGCTGTATTTCCTTATAAAATATGGACTTGGTCATTTAATTTGAATATAAAGTGAGAATTAAAAATAAATATATATTTAGCTAATGAAGTTTCAAACCTATTTGTACCACTTGGATTTGTAGGCAACAAGGAAAGGAGTAAGTTGCTGGTGTTGTGTTTTTGCCATGGTCTTGTACCAAATGGCATTGCATCTCACGTTACGGGATTTCCCTAAAGTTCCGGACACCAGGGGTGAATCATAGGAAAGACAGTGGCCTGCAGGCTTACCATGTAGCCTGAAGCTTCAACGTTCACTTTCATAGTAAATTTCTGATAGTGGTGGACTCCCTTTTTAAAAGTTATTATATCTATATTTTGCAGTTTAGGACAACATAGCCTTTATTTCATCCTTTTTTAGGGTTTTAGACATGAGTCGTATTGTCAAATTGCTCTTAAGAAAAAAGCTGAATTATGCATCCACTTACAAGGACTGAAACAAGCAAATTTTGTTAAAGTGATTGTACCTCGTTCTCTCTTCTGACACTTCTTCCTCTGCACTGTACACTTCCTCGTCTCACTTGTAGGAGGACACAGGTTACCCTTTGCTGAAGGATGCTGGATGATTTCTCGGACCCGAGTTTCAGTTCCTCTTTTGAAGCCGCATGTTTTCCCTTTCTTGGTGCATGGACTCCAAGGGCTCCATTCACCGGCTTCGCAGTGCACTGAAACAGAATGGCAGAAACGGTCTCAGCTGGTTCACAAACACTGTCGTTGTGTAAAATAAAAGTAGCTCAACTTCTGAGGTTAAGTCCTGTGGAAAAATGTTGGACAAGATTGCTCAAATATAAAACCAGGGAGTGAGAGAGGCAGACATAGTCTTTTCAAGTTTTTCCCTCCTTATTCTGTCAGGTAAACACATTCTTGGGTTGACTTTTTCTTCTAAATTTAACTCTACCACTACTAGAGCTACAATGGATCAGTGCCTTGCAATTTGCAGAGCACAGCTACGATTACTGATTGTTCCTGATGTCACAATTAATTGCCAGAGAATTGATTCTCAGACTTCAGTGTGCATCAGAACACCTAGCAGGCCTGATAAGATGCAGAATGCTAGGTGCAACCATAGAGATTTTGGCTTCTTGTGAAAAATACAGGTACTGTTAACATGGGTGTTGCTGATTTGCAAATCCCGGGGACAGCTTTGTGCACCTCTGTGCTAGAGAATGGTTGAGCAGAAAATGAATCCAGATCTTTTGCCTTTCCTACTTCCTGTGCCGTGAAGCTCTTAAATAATACTGGATGTGGTTTGGGCATGGTAGCACTTATTTTAAGTGAGTTTTGGGTCAATTTCAGCTGATAATCTGGCTACAGAATTACCTAAGTGATCCCCAGGAGGAAGGGTAGATGCTTTCTGAAGCTTTGTTTCCTTCTTTGGTATGTAGTAATGTTTAAATAATGGATATCCCCAGGTTTTATAACAGATTTCCTGATGAAAAGAAACATCTGAAGGTGCTATTTTTATATTTATGACTGTAAAACTTCCTAACCTAAAACAGTTGGAACTGCTTCCAATGGTAACTTCTTCAGATAGATACTAGACTCTTCATAAAAACAAGTTTCCAGCACCCCTTCTGGTATAAATTGGGGAGGTGGTGAAGGGAGGGCAGGGACAGGGGACAAATGAGAACCAAGACCTGTCATGTAAAGGTACAAGATCCCAATGATGAATGTAACTGTACTGTATACCTAAAATGTAGCAATAAACTCAATGAAAAAAAAAGAACAATATCAATCCTAGAAATCTTTAGCTATTCACTAGTGAAGCAAGTGTCTCAAAAAAAAAAAAAAACCCAAACCAAGCCAAAACAACAACAATAACAAATAAGGAGTGATTACAGTCCTGGAATTGTGAGGAAGATTGCACTTGATGTCCTACTAGGCACGACCTTTCAGTGCCATACTGTATTTCATTGTAATTCCAGCTGGCCTGTGGCATTTTTCCATGGAAAGAACATGGTCCTCCCTACTCAGAGTTTAGAGTGGGATGTCTTTTCTCAGTGACGACCTAAGCAACTCCACTTCTCCAAGAGGAGCATTGAGGAGGACAGAATGACAGCTGGACAGGAAGCAAGTATCTTGAGTAGAAAAGTAGAAAGTAGAAAGAGTATATCCTCCTGTGAAACTGGGTCCAGTGGATGTTTGTTTATCCTTAACTTGGCCTGAAAACCACAGAGAGTCAATCAGTTGTGACATGAGTCTTTTTCACCCCAACTTTTTATCAGGGCAGTACCTTCTCTGCTTATGGTTTTTCCACTCAATTGAAAATCTAGGTAGGAATCAAGAGAGGAGGCATTTCAAGTTTAGAAAGTGGAAAGGCCCTTTCTGTTGGATGGCCTGTGAGGAGCTACAGTTCAGGTGCCAACAGTGGCAGTGCTGAGTTATATTATGTCCTTGGGGCAAACATTTTAGCTCCCTTTGTCTCAGTTTTCTTCTTTGTTAAAGGAATGGACTCTGTCATATTCCCTTGTATAGGTCATCATTTTCCTGACAATTCTGGGATGACCCTACACGGGTAGTACCTGTAGTCTAGATACCATATGGTGGGAAACATGCTTACAGAGCAGTGATGGCAAACCTGTCAGAGACTGAGTGCCCAAGCTGCAACCCCAAACCCACTTATTTATGGCAAAGTGCCAACACCCCCCCACAGGCCCCGCTATCTGATGCGCAGCTGTTGGGTGATACCAGGGCGACTTGGCTTGAGTGCAGACAGAAGGCTCTGTGTGCCTGCTGCTGTACACGTGTCATAGGTTCGCCACCCCTGCTCTAGAGCAAGAAAAGAAATCTAGGCCTGAAAAAGGTTCTGGTCCAAATGACCAACATGTCATTTCTACCTGCCTACTTTAAAATATATAAATTATTCACATTTGTTTGAAGGAATAGTCTTAGTTTTACTGATTAAAACTGTTGAGTTTTAAAGACTAAACCAAAAGTACCAAATGTTTAATATTTTCTGTGATAGGAAAAAGCGAATAAATTTAGTATAAGTAGCCTTTTAAGACAGAATGGCACACTTTTAACACCTTAGAAAATTTAAATACATGTCCTTTTACTAGACAAAGAAATCGCATAAACTTTTAGCAGTTTGCCCTGAAGTTTTGTGCTTGCCTATGCCTCAAAAGTGGTTCCCCTGTTTTTCCATTGGAACTTATTACCTCTAATCACAGCTCTTGGGACCGATAAACGGATGGACGTGAAGTTCTTTCTCATGTACCTTTTACCCGTTTCCTAAGTTGTTTTTCTGTGTTTTATGGACAGGACAAGAAAAGACTTAACCCAAATCATCATGAACTGATTCAGGCTTGTTTTCCAGTTACTTCTAAAGGAGTCTTTAAAGTATTATATACTTGTTTCATTCTACCTAAAATGGAATGTCTGTGTTGGAACTGAAATGGTTAAACACCACCTTCTAGTTTGTACTCCAACACTTCGAGTCCTATTTTCGGTGCTGTGGCACCCGGGGCGGTCCTGGAGCTTATCTGTGCTGATCGGGAAGGCTGTTCCTGCTGCCAGAGTCACGGCAGCATCAAAGGCTCCTGCAGTTCTTGCCCAGGGGACTCTGAGTTTTCCTATGCTGTTTTCCCCTTCGGAGTAGCATCTGCTCCCCAAGTGTTCATAGCCTTGTGCTCTGGTGACTGCACAACACGTACAAGAGGAAAACACAGCCTGAAATCAAACTGTTATTTAGACTGACATTGTCCAAGGGCCTCCCCTCCAGGAAGCTCAGCCTGCAATGAATCAGGCCTTGGGACCTTCTCACTCTTGTCAGTTTGAGCAAGTCCAAAATCCTTTCTTTTTTATTTCTGAACACCGGTGCAAGCAGGACATTGCTGAGTTAGTGGGTTGCTTCAGAGAACACGTCCCTCTCTCCTCGGAAACAGCTTTGGTTACTGGGAGGGGTCAGACAGACTTACGTGTTTTGTGAAACTTAGAGCAGAGTTTGGTTCAAGACACACACACATGGACAGAGAGACTGGCAGACACACACAAACACTATAGAACTTCAAGGGCCGGGGATTTAGCTCAGTGGTGCCGCCGCCTGCCTTGCAAGTGCAAGGACCCGAGTTCAATCCCCAGTACAAAAAAAAGTAGAACTTCATATCACAAAACAAACCTATAATGACCAGAATAATCAAAATAATTAGGATCACTAAGAAATAAGGGAACGCTCACTAGGTATTAAAATGTGGCTATGCTGGGTAAGGGTACGGGAACATCTCTAAGAGAGTATCTTTATAAAGCGATGGGGAGAGTCCCTTAGAGACATCTTCGAGCCCTGGTGAAACTGGACTTCAGCAGCATGTGCGTGGATCCTGCCTACCAGCCGGGGTGTTTCTCATCCACTCCTGATCCCCGAGTCTTGCTCACCAATGCTGATGCACTCCATGGTGTGGTTGTTGGCTTCCAGCCCTTCTGGGCAACTGTCAAAGCACTTCCCAAGGTGTAAGTAAAATCCACTTTTACACTTTGTGCAGAAATTTTTGTTGAAACAGGTATCACAATCAGCTTTACATTCTGAAAGAAATATGAAGAAAATATGCTTTCTTTCATTATCTACTAACTTCATTATCTTGAACCAGTGTTTCATGCACATGTGACTTTGCGGTCAAACACAAACTTGGGGTTCAGAGTTACTTTGCTAAATGGAAGTAAGAATTCTTCCAGTCATTTCCTTGATGTGCATCAGTTGTTGACTTCAGAATCATTGCACTGGGTGCCTTATGCAAAATTTTTGGCAGTATGATATAAACATCCATTTTTTAAAAAACCTAAAAACCCCAAGTATTCTAAAATCTGAAACACTTGGAACATGGCTTTATTCTGCACAAGTCTCAGATTTGGGGTATTGAGATTTGAGATGTTCCACCAGTAAAATCTATGCAAATGTCCCCCAATCCATAAAATTTAAAAAAACTTCTGGTTCAAGGGACTTCATATAAGGGATATAGCCAAGAATGGTTATAATACCAAGACACTATTGTATTACATGATGTTGCTGTCCCAATAGAACTTAAATAAAATATACGGTGCTGTTCTTTAAGACGATTTATTCACTCAACAACCATCTGATTACCCACTGAATTCCAGGCATTAGTTTGTGCGCATTAATAGCAGCAGGTTGGGCAGTTAGAGGCTGCCCCAAGGAGATAGAATAAACAATAGCAATTGTTGATCTTTCTATGGTAAACACTATAAACCAGGACTATTACAAGTATTCACAATCTTAAGGTTTTTAAACTTTATAAGAATCCAATAAAGTGGCCTTTATTATGGTTCTCACTTTGATAATGAGACTGATAAAATGACTGAGGCTTGAAATAGTTGCATAACCAGTCAAGAACCACACAGAAGGAATGATGTTTGAACCCAGTCAATTTGGTTCCACAGTGAGGAGGACTCTGGCAAACAACAACAGAAAAGCATAGGAAAAAGAGACGGGAGGACCTGACTGACGAAGGAAGTGGCAGATTAGTTTGGCGAGATGGCCCTGGGGTTCCTCTGTGAGAGGGAGCTCAGGAGAGAGCTCAGCCAGGCTAAGGTGCAGGCTCAGGAGCGCAGGGAGAGTGGTCTGGGTGGGGAGCGCCTTGCAGAGAGGGCAGGGAGAGGGTTGTAAGACGGTGGAGGGGAAGATGAAGAGGTTGGAGAGAGAAGCCCAGCGACCTGTGATGTTTGGACAGAGGAGTAAGATTTACTAATTTACAGTTTCAAAAGGTCACTTCATTTTCAGTATGGAGAACAGACTTTCAGGGTCCAGATGAGAGTGCTTCCTACATTTATTTTCAACTGGTAAATGTTTCAGTTGCTATACTGTAGCCTTTGTGGAAACCAAATAGCTAAAATGATTCTTCAAGTTATTAAGTACTTAGATTTTGTGATAGCAACCAGACCTTAGATGTTACCGATGCTTGCAGGACTTCTCTGTGGGTTTGGTGAGTAATAATCACGTTCTCAGCTTTAGCTTTTACAATACAACCCTCACCCCCCTCAAAAAAAAAAATCTTAAGTGCTTTATTTTTTGTCAGTTACAGAGTGGCTGAACATTTTCCTGTCCTCGCAGCTAGCTAAGTCGACGTATATATAGTTTAGCCTAACTGTCAGGTGAACATTATTATTTACTCAACATCGGGTATCACAGATATTCACAATGTGGAAAAGTCCCCAAGGATGAGATAAGAATATAATGTTGTGTAGGCACTTACTTGTACACTTATTTATATCTGGATATCGAGTTCCATAATATCCACTGGGACAGGAAGAGAGACACACTCCTATCTGCTTCATGCCAATTCTTTCCAGAACAAAAAATAGTCGGGGCTTACATGACAAACATCCATTGTAGTCAGAACATGTCGCACAGCCTCCTTGACAGCCTTGACTGACGTTGGGGTGCACTGGGGAGACAAACGTAGGAAGGCAACAAGAAAGTTAAACCCTGCATGTAGAAGTTAAGTGACGTTTTGCATGGTGTACACATTCCTCTTGTTAGCTTGCAACTTGGTGACCATGTGGACAGGATATTTTGCCCACATATTTTGAGATCTGATATTTCCCGTATGAGACCCTATATTGTTTTAATTTCAGAGATCATAAAACTTATGCTTTGGTAAAGTAAAAGTGTATTTGGCTCACATAATTCACAAAGTTTATATGGAAGCTATTCTTACTTAATTATCACCCTGGGAAATCAGAGAGCAGTGATTTTGTGAGGGCTTACACCTTGCAAACAGCACATGTGAGTGTGGCTTTTCATTTCTGTAGTCGATGGTAAGCACATGTCTCTTAATTTCTTCAGCAAGTACGGCAACACCATCAGGGCTGAGCTTGAACTAGAATAGTAAGTTCTAGAATAGTATTTTCAATTACAGTTTATTAATGAACACAGTTTTACCCTTTGAACCAGTACAAATTAATTTGGGAACAAAGCGAGCTACTCACCACCCCTCAGTGCTTTCCAGAAATGTTTCTGCTCACATAGGTTTAATAATTAGCAAATCAAATGGATATAATGATGAAAGTGTGACTTTTCTTACCAGCATTTCCATATGGAAAATACATGAGCACTTATAGTACTTTATGCTCAATATTTTGTCTTTTGGGAGGGAATTCTTAGTTTCGCTGTCCTCGCTTTCAGCTTGCTCAAGGGAAAGGTGCACTTGCAGAGTTGGGCTGAAGTAAACACCCCTGTTACACACACTCCCAGGTTGCCAGGAGTCGCTGATGCGTGAGGTGACAAGTGTTCAGGAGCAAATCCAAATACAGCGAACACACATCAGGGAGACTCATGTTCTCACGAGCTCTTCCTCATGGCGACCTCCTATGACTATTAATTATTCATGACCTGATAGGAGCTGCTCACTAAAGCTGCATTTGGGACGACTTCTTTTCCTAACATAGTCGCTATACAGATACAATACAAATAGCTTTATTGTCCTTTCAGGATGCCAGAAAGAAAGACATGTTCTTTTGAGAAGCTAAGATCGAGGCAGAGGAATCCAAAGGCATCCCAGCATTTTTCCTACTTCTTTTGTTGGTGGGAGAAGGGATGGGCTGTCACAGCTCTTGCCATGATTAAATGTATCTTCTCAGAGATGTTTGGTTCGTCCTGAGCTCATCTTATGAACCAGCTCCTCAGGCTTGGCTGGAAGGAGCACCTGTTAGACCCAAGAGGTGCGAGCTGCAGGGGTGCGTGGGCCAACTGTGAAGGTCATGGTGCTGCCCTGTCTTCTGCTCTAGGAAACCATCCCAGAAACCGCCCCACGTAGCTCATTCCCATGCCAAGATGTTTGGTAGAGAAACTGAGGAAATGTGGGTGAGGGGAGACTGCTTTTCCTGGAGCTTCTGTCCTGTGCGGCAGAGCTGGTCAGATAAAGTGGCACAGGAGATTTAGACCTTAACGGGCCTGGGAAACTTGTAAGCAAAAACAGCTTTCCAAGTAAATTGGTCATTTTTCATGGCAGTACCTCAGCACTGGAGACTTAGAGACATTTTACATATTTTAAGATTGTACATTTTTTTAAACGGGGAAACACCCTACAAAGGAAAGGATCAAGAGAGCTCTGTGTTCCAGATCTATCAGAATCAACCTCAAAAAGTGAGATGTATATAAAAAAGGAAAACAGGCCGCCATAAAACCTTCTGCAGGAGGATTGTCTCTGAAAAGGGACCTTATTTAGAAGAAAGTAACACCAAGTTCAAGGTCTGGAGGACTCTGGGTTTGATAAAGATGGTTCCAATTGATCCGTGCCATTATTTCCGTGTCTCTGAAATGCGGCTGCTAAAATAAAACGCAATTATAATTTTATGCACCACGAAACTTTTCTCACCTATGATTATCACTCTCAGTTGCAAGGGGCCGGGGATTTAGCGCAGTGGTTCCACCACCTGCCTCACAAGCACAAGGTCCTCAGTTTGATTCATCCCCAGTATCAAAAAAAATTAAATACTTCACTTATTGATAAAAATATGACTTACGAATTCGGGCCCTCACACACTGACATTCCTTAAGATGAGCTGGATTTGAAAACTTGAATTTTGGATGTTTAGAGATCTCTACATGAGAACTGTGTAATGGGTCTCATGACTGGTAACGGTTTCCACTGAAATTGTAAGATGTGCCAAAATGACCTTGCCTGGTTCCCTCTTTTTTTAAAGTTTTACTGATGAAATGCAACATAATCCACCTAGTACTATAATTTTTTTTTGCCTGTATAAAGAGTGTTGATAAAAATATTTTTTGAAAAATCGAGGAAAATCAGTTGTCTCAACTTGCAATGATAATTTTGGTTTATTCATTCCCAATCACTGATTTTTTATTATGGGCAGTAAATTTAATACAAAGTGAATTTAATACAAACTTCATTTCTTGAAGAAAGTATAAATTCTAGCTATAGAACAGAGGGAAACTGAGTCTATGAAGTGCAGATTCTATGATTCTAAATTTTGTGGATGACTACTGTAGTGACTTCTTTCTTGATTGCTGTAGAAAGATCACTCAAATTATGCAGTTGGTATTACACAATGAGATACAAATTTTCCAAATTTCATCTTAAGGCAAGAGCTTTTACTTTTTATATGGAAACCACAAAATCTTTGGTCTGGATTGACTCTAAGAAGCCTTTCAGCCATAAAATCTTGTGATTCTAAGTCAAAAATAGAATGATTTTGTCATGTTTCTCTCTCTACTGTAATCATAACTTCATTTTGAATTTCTGAATCACTCTTTTTCAAACAATGTATTTCCACTGTTATTTATAGAAGCAATGGAGATTTTGGTGGTAGAGATATAAGTAAGGTTTCATAGAATAATGTTTGAACTTAATCTCAGAAAATTAGTTGGAGTTTATCAGTAGATGTATGGCTGCTTTGGGCTAAAGAGGAAAGACCACAATTATCCAAACTCAGAAGGAGATTGTCATGGTTCAATCCAAGATTGGAAGCACAGGGTAGATCTAGATTCTGGAGCCCTTTGTGGGACGTGCCAGGAAATTGTTCTGTAGAAATGGAAAGTGTGCCAATCCTGTGTGTGATATGGTTAAATTTCTGTTAGAAAAATGCAATCTGAGCACTCAAGAATCTGAGACAAGAGGGTCTCCAGTTCGATGCCAGCTGGGCTGCACAATGAGTTCAAGGTCAGCCTTGGCTACATAGTGAGACCCTGTCCCAAAAAAGTCAAAACCAAACAAACAGTAAGAAGTATTTCCCTGGCAGTGTGGCACACATGAAAGCCAGGAGAAAATTCATGTAATGTTTGAAGAGGCTGATGCACCTTACAATACAGCTGAGACACTATAATGTGATGGAGAAAGGATGCATGTTCCAAAGATATTTAGGAAGTGGGATCTATCAAATATGGTTGACCAACAAGAAAGGGGATTTGAATAGGAATATTTCTAATTCTTGCCAATGAGTAGCAAGGAGAGGAGCTACTAGGGGAATAAGAGCTTACAGGAAACATTGCATGGGATTCAGTTGGAAAGATACAGATGTGGCTGGCATCGTTAACTTTACAGGAAGAGGCTTACTCTGGAGCCATTCCTGGAGATGCATGTGGGAGTGGACTGGCTGCGGGCTAAACAAGGCATCTGAAAAGGGAAAAGCGCTATGAATGAATGAAAGATAAAGGAACCACAGACAAATAGAGGACATCTGGAAAGAGAAAAAGATGTAGTATGAACATATTTAATGGTACTCTTTCTATATCACTTCTGCTTTTAAGGCATCTACTTTATAAAAAAGAAAATAACTAAGCTGGGCGTGGTGGCACACCCTTGTAATCCCAGAACTCGGGAGGCTGAGGCAGGAGGATCACTGTGAGTTTGAGACAAGCCTGGGCTACATAGTGAGTTCCAGTTCAGTCTCAACTACATAGTGAGACCCTGTCTCAAAAACAAACAAACAAACAAACAAGCAAACAAACGAAAAAGAAGATAACTAAATTATAAACTGTTACATTTTTTTTTTTTTGGTACCGGGGATCAAACTCGGGTCCTTGTGCTTGTAAGGCAGGCAGCAGAATCACTGAGCTAAACCCCCGGCCCCTTAAGCTGTTATAATTGTTTAATTTGAAACCTCAAACTGGGACTCAAAGTAATGCTGTAAGTGATGGGACAACTAGCAAGTTTTGAAAAAGGTTAAAATTCCTATCTTTGATATCTCGCACCAAGTTAGCTTTAAATGGAAACTGGGTAGACTTTATGGAAACTTGACATAGAAATTTTGAATTTTGTACTTGAGATTTTCCCCCTGATTAAGAAGGAGCTAAATAGCTGAGTGTGGTGGTGCACACCTGCAGTCCCAGCACTCGGTAGGCTGAGGCAGTAGGATCGCTGTGAGTTCGAGACCAGCCTGGGCTACATAGTGAGTTCCAGTTCAGTCTCAACTACAGTGAGACCCTGTCTCAAAAAACCAAACAAAAAAGGAGCTAAATAGCTCTTCTTAACATTGGAGTACACATATATTAAAAAAGAGTATTTGGGCTAGGGACTAAAAAAAGAGTATTTGTTAATGAACGATTTAAAACCCATTTGCAAGGCCTGGTAGTGTATACCTGTAATCCCAGAACTCTGGGAGGCTAAGGCTGGAGGATCTCCAAGTTCAGCCTGAGCAATTTAGTGGGACCTTGTTACAAGGAAAAAGAGAACAGCACTTGCAGTGGCGGAATCACTTACGGGCATTTCTCTAGTTGTTAAACTTTTTCTCCTACTGCCTCTACCCGACAGCCTTCAGCTTGTGATAAGCTACTGACATGATCATTTCTAAGAAACTTATTATTGTCATGAAAGCTAATTCAGCTTTGATAAAATATCTAGAAAATCAAATTTTAAATAATGTCAGAGAATTTGCTAAATGTACAACATTTAGCTATTTATTTCCAATGTTTGTAAAGTACTGAACCAGTTACAACATTGAAAACTGAACAGTTTCTGGAACAGTTTAAAGGCCAGCTTTCAGGATTTGTCTTACTCAAATTCCCTTCTATAGCTCAATTGTAAATATCCTACCATCTACTGTAAATAGCTATGCAGAAGAAACCCATTCTGTACACTGCCAGGTACCTCTGATGTCATTTATGTTTGGCTAGAAATTTTCCAGAAATATAAAATTTAATAAACTTTAGTTTAATAAAACAAATTTGAGAACCAAGGAGGTGTTCAATACATGTGACATACTGATTTCATCATGGATTGGCTAAAAATTAATCCACAAAATTGATGTTAGACCAAGAAAACACTTAAGCAGATCTCCCTTAGGCATTCCAGTCTTCAGCGTTTACTGCCTGCTCGTCTATATGCAGGGTGCTTAAGAAAAAAGAGTAGGGAGGGCTGGGGTTTAGCTCAGTGGCACTCATCCTGCCTCGCAAGCTTAAGTCCTAAAGTCAATCCCCAGGATGGAGCAGACGGAAGCGGATTCCATCCTCAGGGTTGGTTGACATCGTCCTTTCCTCAGGCCTGCTCCTTTCACAAGGTGTGCAGATTGAATGTAAGGGTCCTGGGGCAGGAAGTGATAATGGGCTTGATAAGTTCTTGGTAATTGCCCACTTCGACACAGGCTATTTATTAAGTTCATAATAAAGAATATTTTGATTATTGGGTGAATGAAGGCAATAAATATAAAAATAAGCTGTGGTTTTTTTAAAAATAAAGACATAAAAGCCGCAATTATCTAACAGTATCTATAATAATTCCCTTCCAGTGGGTTTTGCCTATGACCATCTGGTAAAAGAATGAAGTTCCAAATCACTTATACGTAAAGATACTTATATGTGACTTAAATCATTTCAAAATTAATAGTAGAAGCTTCTCTAAATGTCATTTATTTTAAATACACTCACCTAGAGAAAAATCTGAGATTCTTTTCTTGTCTACATTAGAATACATTTCTCCCATATCTCGGGACTTGATTGTTACGAAATCATTGTTTAGAGTAACTTTACGGTCACTGAAAATTAAGGGATGTTTCATGGTTCCTCTGAAATGCTTGGCAATGTTCACTTTAAGAAAAACCCAAAGTTAAAAAGTTGAATGACTTGGCAATCTCTTTCAAATTCTGTTAAGTCAAACAAGAAAATATTGAGAATCAATAATTTTCAAGTATTTATAAGTAAAAGGTTTCAAAGTAGAATTACAAAGGCTACGTCTGCACAATCCTTTAAACAATTTGAGGGAGTCAGTCACAGAGAGCACAATAAGTACAAAAGATTTTCTGAATAAGCATAAGTACATTTTGGGACACGGCATTCTTTCACATTCCTAAGCTGTGATATATGCACGAACACGGGTCAGTTCATACAAAGAGCCACATGTTTATATATCCAAATACTTACAATCTGGTTATTTTTGAAGTGCTATTTGTCTTCTTTAATACATCAATGTTTTGATCTTTAAATGAGGTAAAACTCACCTGTTACTTAAATATCTACACGTGTGCACAAACCTGTGTTCACATGTATGTATGTGCGTATGCGCACACATGGTGCACTCACACACATATGTTGTGTGGTCTTTTATCGAAGTTAATACCACAGGCATGAACTGAATGGAGAAGATAGCAGACTGCTGTACCTCCCATGTCACAACTCAGCCTGTAATCTGAAAGTCTGTGCTACACAAGTGGGTTCATAGGGTTTCTACCAGTCTCAGAGAAGACTCTACTCGCCAGCTGCCAAATACAACCTAGTTGGTGACCCACCCTTATTATTTTGTGGGGAAATTGCTGTTTTTAATGGAAACGATTTCTTTGACACTTTGATAAAACTTTCTTTTTCTCCTACCAAATAATAGTTTCCTGAAGGAAGTCTAATATGTATATCCTATAAATACTTTAAAATAAAACCACAGCAACAAGGCAAACCTCACATTAAATACCAATTAGCTATTCTTTCCACTGAAATGAAATATTAAAATTTCTTAAAATACTATGAAAACAGCTAGCAAAGATGATATCTGTGGAATTCACGAAACCTAAGCCATGATGACTAGGTGGTGGCTAAATGTGAATGCGATTGGGAAGGGCTGTATTTTGCCTGACCACGTGCCACAGGGTCAAGACTGGAAATGGAAGACGATGGAAGAGGGCTGCTTTGGGTCTGCATGCGCCATGTTTAATTACGATTTTCGACAAATGTAGGAGAGCCCATTATATACCCAAGTACACGATGCAGAAAATGCAGGCTTGAATGAGACATCCAGTTCCCAGACTCCTGAAGCTGATCAGTTAATAAGTAAAAAAAAATAGGTCACTGTGCCCTGTGAGAGGTGTGATCAGTGAAATACCACGTGGGTAAGGCAAGGACAACTCCAAGAAACAGGAGACTTTGCTGTCGCGCCTTCCTGAGACATGGACACCGACACGTGGGTTCTGAACACAAGGAAGGGCTTCCCGACTGAGCACCAGCAAGAGCAGGCTTTCAGGTGCCAGGAAAGGGCCAGGCCCGAGCGTGAACCCAAGCAGCTCCAGATGGCCCAGCGCCCCAGGGACTTGAGGCCAGGTCCTGAACACCCTCCTGAGGACGCATGCGCCTGAGCACCTTTCAACTCTGCGTCTGGCTCTAAGTCGTATCAGAAGGGAAGGAAGGAGCACATGTGGCCCAGGACAGTTCCCCACTTTAACTTTTGTTAATTTTATGAGTCTTGGAAGAGAACTAGCATCTTGTATTCCATGAAGATGTTCTCTTATTAATTTTTATATTAGAGGAGAATGTCCTAACCAGTTGCAAACTTGGGCATTGACATTCAGATTCCACTCTTTGAAGAGACTACGCTTCGTCTCTACGTTCTCTGCGCTCAGGAACATTCATTTCTCCTCTATTCCTCCCCATCTCCCACCAGCAATCATTTGTTTACTTTGGGGTTTAAATATTCATTCCTCTTTTAGTGCAGGGTGTGTGTGGGGGGTGAAGAGAAATGGTAAAGTTATGAAACATATAAGAGGTCATAAGAACAAAGAGTAAAATGTTTAAAAAATTACAATCTTTATATCATCTTTTCTTGCATTTTCTAAATTCCTGCCATTAGCATACTTACTGAAACGTGTCAGTAATTCAGAGCAATACACTATGGTTTTCACTTCTAATAGAACCTGTTTTGAACAATCTCAACATTAGGCTCTTTTATTCATTAGATAAATTAATTCACAGGATCAATTCAAAGTTTTCTGTCTTTGTTGTGTTTTGTTTTGTTTTGTTTTGTTTGTTACTGGGAATCGAACTCAGGACCTTGCACTTGCAAGGCAGGAGGCACCACCACTGAGCTAAATCCCTCACCCTATTTTTGTTTTTTAAGACAGAGTCTCTCTATATAGTGCAGTCTGGCCCTGTACTCATTACATAGCCCAGGCTGGCCTAGAACTCACAATGATCCTCCTGTCTCAGCCCCTCCAGTGCTGGGATCACAGGCATGAGCCACCACACCCAGCTCAAAATTGATGCTTAAGAAGCAATGAACCCCATACTGGCTCTCCCATGGCCAACCAGGTGGTGGTGACTGATAGCATTACTAAGGCGACAAAGGAATGTACAGGATCAAAACTAAAGCAACTTCTTCTTGGCCACATGGAGGAACTTTCCTGGAGTTAGTGCTCTCCACCTAAGGCTAGACGTAAGGGACTGGTCAGGACCTCCAGCTGCTGCTGCTGCTGGGGAAGGGGCGCTTCCCTCCTCCAAGTGGCGTGTTCCCCAGTGGAGGTGAGCAGAGGACAAGAGGGGAGGACAGGGATCGAGAAGCAGCTTCTGCGGAGAGCCAGGACCTGTGGACGAGTTCGTGGGTGGTAATAGGAGCTTTCTTCATGAGACAGATCCAACCGTGTTCGTCCAACAGTGGGAATCATTGTGTGCTCTGCTCTGGCCAAGAGAGCCATTTCTTTCTTTTAAGTGGAGAAATAATTAGAAATCAACATAAACAGAAAATGTGATAGTTTTCATGGTAATGAATCTGCATGGGTGTGAGTCTGTGACTATTAACTTCGCATTCCTGAACGAAACAAACTTCAGTTTGTGCTAAAAACAAACTGGACTTTTTTGTATTATGAATAAACTTGGATCTCCAGGCCGCATAGCATGTTCCAGCAGCGTATCTGAGGACTGCAGCCCCAGCATAAACAAACAGCAGGCAGAGCCTCATGATGTTTTAACAGGCACAAGAAGATGTGCAAAGAGTGGGTATACCATTTAAAAAAATCCAGCTGCGTGCCTCCCATCTGAAGGTCAGAGCAGAGAAAAAGTGGAGATTTCTGCTCATTTTACAAAACTGCTCCTGGAACAGAAGAGGGCTCTGTGTACACGTTTGCGGGTCTGATGCATTTGTGCTGTGTGTACGGCTCCCTCCATCCCAAGGGCAGATGAGTAATGCCAATTACATGTGTTACATTCAGATTGTTTAGAAAAACATGGTTCAGCCTCTTTGAGCCTGGTCCTTCCCATCTGTAACACGGGAATGGCTCCTTGACACACCCTGGCAGGGTTCAGCAAGGTGCTGTGTGAAGCGCCGAACACTCTTACAGGTGCTCATTAAAAATCAAGAGGGAAGACATTCTGCCTCACTACCTGCATCCTGCACTATCTCTGTCTATATTCTAGGCAACTGGCAGATTTCTCCAATAAAAACTCTCAGGAATCTCTAAGCAAGCAGTCTGGAAAGGAGGCAGATGCTGATGCTTCTTTGTAATATATGATATTTGGTGACTCGAGAAGCTCAAAGCTCATTAATAGGAAGAAGCTCCTTTTTAAGGACTAGAGATCCAGCCTGCAGTGGACATCGCTGTATCACTGGTGGCCTCACACAACGCTGTGGGCTGGAAGCCCTTGAGAGCATTGACAAGCCACTGGTGCTAAGCACCCACTTACATGGGTGAAAGAGGTAAGATGTTCCGAAGAAGTGCTACCTGCGTGGCATGGGGAATCAAAGGTGGAGCCATTGTGACGATGACCCACAGTACTTGTTTAAAAGCCAGATGCACAGCTCTCGCCCAGAGATTTTGATTCTAGAATATGAAGATGGTGGACTTAGGTGGCTGCGTATATATATGAGAAGGTGAACCAGATGCAAGTGACATAAATGTCACACTTTCAGCATCACATCTTTATCACCTTCCCAAATGAAGGCCTTTTCGGAGATGGCATGAAGCAGTTTCCTAGGAGCTGATGATCCTCCTAGAAAACAATGTGGTGTCTGACTCAAGAACCCTGCAAGAGAGTTCATGGAACAATCGTTTCATACGCTAATGACCATAAATACATGGAATGGACATTTAGTGTAACAGGAATTAAAAGCTAGGAGCTGTCACTGGCAGTTATTTGAAGAGCACAGAGAGCAGCTAGGAATTGTAACAGGACATTAAGGGGGAAAAAAGAACTTGGATAAATGAAAAAGGAGAAAGTGAGGT